CACTATGGTGAGGATTCACAAAATTTTTGTAACCAATTGACACACTGTACGAAACTGGAAGATGATTTTATGTTTTATATTTGTCTGTGCTTGTTTGTTTAAAAATAAAAATAAAGTTTATAAAAACCCCCCCCATCCTGCTTACTAGAAAGCCTTTTGAAACTTGAAATATGACATGTTCAAGTAAGACATACTGTAATTCTCCAAGTCTGCTGTACTCTTGGTGGAAGAGGTTAACTTCATTGAATACAGTAAGATTTACATCTAAGTAAATATGATTTTTGTGTGTGCGTCTTTGAGTCAATCTTGACTCTACAAGGACCAATCTTTGCATTTTTGTAGGCAAGATTTTAAGAGGCTGTTTTGCCAGTCAAAATCTTCTTCATATGATTGGATAAAAATGATTGGCCCAATGTCATCTAGACGGCTTCCATTCCTAAAGCAGGATTAAACTCATGCTTCCCTACTCCCAAGCCAGGACTTCACACATTATACCAAACCAAGTCTCAAAAGAAATATATCTTTGAGTCAGTCTTGATTCCTGACAACTACCGTATTTTTCAGAGTATAAGACGTACCGGAGTATAAGATGCACCAAGGTTTTGAAGAGGCAAATTTTTTAAAAAAGTTATTATACTCTGCAAATCTCCCCAAAACGGCCTGTTTTTCATGAAAACTGGCCCGGTTCCCCACCCCCCAAAAGGGCATGAATAGCCTTTAGGAGGCTTGTAGAGTGCTCCTGGAGGGTGGGGCTGGGGCAAAAACGAGCAAAAAATGACCCATTTTTTGCTCATTTCTGCCCTCCTCAGCTCCCAGGAGCTCCCTGAAAGCTTCCTAAAGGCTATTCATGGGGGGCGTGCTGAATACAGCATTTTTTGGGAGGCAAACAATGCTGTATTCAGTGTATAAGATGCACCCAGATATTCAGCCTCTTTTTTGAGGGAAAAAGGTGCGTCTTATATTCCGAAAAATATGGCATAAGAACAGTACTTGCAATGTACTTTGCAAGGTTTCAGAATGCTTTGCCCTTGCCTCCTTCCAACTGACAGAGAATTATTGGCCCAATATCACCCTCCTCGTTTTGCATCTAAGGTGGGACTAGAACTCCCAATCTCCCAGACTGTTCTGACTGAGGCCTCCCAAGAGCATGAAACAAATTGGTCCCGACAAAACCCCCTTTTATTAATTGACTGTGAATTCTGCTCATTCACATCCAGCAAAGTCTTTCAAGGGAGAATTTACAGACACAGATCTTATCTGGCTGGGAGAGCTGCCAGGCTGATATCTGCAAAACTTGGCAGTCACAGGCCAATGAAGTGAACTAATTGTCTCCTGCAAACTTCCCTTCCCTTTTACTCCTCTTTTATTTCCATGGGGGGGGGGAATTCATCAGCCACCTGTGGCCTTACTCCCAAGTCGACCCCTGTTCTTTAGCTGCTCCCTTCCTCTGGCAACTCTGCACATGTGCACACTGGGAACAGGCTCCAGCTGTTCATCTGCCTCACTGACTCTGAAGGCAGCTGATAACTGGCATATGGCCCTGGCCCCCTCTCTGCCTCCGATGCAGAGCCCTCGTCCGAGCCTTCCCCAGACTCCGGAACTGGCCCATGTTCCTCCCCAATCTCCTCACTGTCCGAATCTGCTGCCAGCTCTGCTGGCGGGCCAGAACACAGATTACTAAAATGACTCTGAAATATATTTCAGGCCGTGTGTGTGTGTGTGTGTGTGTGTGTGTGTAAAACAGTGACATTAAATGTTACTCTATTTATGCAACAACCATAACAATATGGGTGACTTTTTGAGCATTTGCCATTTGAGCATTTTCATTTCAACTTACTTTCAAATGAAGCACTGTATATAGCATGCTGAGAAATACTTCTTGATAAACATTCATTCTTTCAAGTATATTAATTGTTCTCATGGATTCAGTTTTATTGTCATAGATCAAGCTGTGTAAACCTGCACAGTGAAAAGAAAGGGAAAATGTGACACCCCCAGCTATAAAATCCACGAAAATGTTAAAGTTACAAAGCTACAAAGAAAGAAACTGAAA